GAAAACATTAGTTAGTTCTCAAGGACAGTAGCTTAGGTATGTCCTATCCAGTCTCTGCCTGGCCCTGGCATCTAATGGCACTGCCCTCCCCTGCTTGTTTTATTATTTCTGCCTAAAACAAATTTTAAAAAACCTACCTAAAGGTATAAGTGATGCTTTCTCCTTTGTGGGAAAAGGGAACGTGTATTCCCAACTGGCCTGCAATACTGATGTCATTCACTCTTCCTCCAGCTTTTCACTAGCACACATTCTTCCAGGGTCACTCCAACCCTGATGTTTTAATCACTACAATTTAGGAAGAGACTTCTGGATGCCAAATTTAGTGGCCAGGGAAGACAAGATGGTGTAGGGAGAGACCCTCCATGGGGTCCCACACTTCTGCTCATCTCAAGACTGACACAACTCACTGGAAAAACTACTGCTTTGAGGCCTGGTTCAGTTTCTTTCTGGAATTTACATGAACAGAGTGCCCTGGTCCTATAAACACCATAATCCCCGTTGTGAACTGTTTTCTTAGAACTTAACCACATCTCAGGAGATGGATGACCTTAAGCATGCAGTAGGCAGGGCCTCAGTTTCCTTTCCCACAAAAGTGTTGCACTGGCCTGAGTCTTTCTGGAATGCTGATAATCAGAAAACTGACAACCATCCTTTGGGAGTTCCAAGTGGCTGACAGCCCAACTGACTGTTGTTTCTGGGGTTTGATTTTACTCTGTTTACCAGCTAGCTAGTAAGATGGCCCTGGAGCAGTTTCCAAAATGCTGGCAGAAGCCTCCAGACTCTTGGGTCAGATATAAAAGGCTTTATTACTCACAGCAAGACACATAAGCATCAGTATCTGTGTTTGTTTCCCTTGCCACATGGGGACAAAATGGAGGGTCCAAATGGGCCCTCCACATGCAGAGGGTTGCATTACAAGAGTGGGACACTGAGCTTGGGGACCTTACATGGGGACAAAATGGAGGGTCCAAATGGGCCCTCCATATGCAGAGGGTTGCATATGGGTTGCATACTCTTGTAATAAGAGTGGGACACTGAGCTTGGGGACCTCCCACCTTATAGTAGGCAATATACAAGTGTGCTCTTTGGAGCCATTTCCTCATCCCTCAAGGTGCTCACTGCAAACCAGGAAATGGCCTAGGTCCAGGTCGGCAAAGTCGCAAACTGCGGCTCACGAGCCACATGCAGCTCTTTGGCCCCTTGAGTGTGGCTCTTCCACAAAATACCACGTGTGCGCACGTACAGTGCAATTGAAACTTCATGGCCCATGCGCAGAAGTTGGCATTTTGTGGAAGAGCCACACTCAAGGGGCCAAAGAGCTGCATGTGGCTCGTGAGCCGCAGTTTGCGACCACTGGCCTAGGTAAACAGCTGTCAGGGTCATGCATTTTGGCACACCCAGAAAGATCTGTAGCAGCACAGAGTATTGTTTCTACCAACAGCCTGCCCGTCCTGGTTTCTGATGAATTTTCACATGAATATGCCATTCTGTCAGTCACTGACTAATCTAACATGGACTGGGGCCATATTCAGTTTTTCTCATACAGCATTTAATTAGGGCTACAGTTAACAGGACTCCAAACAACAGTGGGTCGGTCTTGTTGCTATGAGGCCAATCTGCCGTCTAGTTGTGAATGAGCAGGACTCATTCCAGGATATAGTGTAAGGCTGTCATCTGTTAGGACCCACAGGGAGGGCAGGGTGCCCTGTTGATCTTCCATGTCATTGCTAATAATCACAAAGCCTGAAAGCAGCCCTCATGCCCCATGAAGAGACATTATGACTCATTCTTTCCCACACACAAAAGCACAGACTGCTGGGGCATAGGGCACAGCAGTTCAGGATTTGTTGTTGAACTTGACTTGGAACACTACCCTGGTTTGGTTAAACCACATGGGCAGTGCCACTGAGTAGTTACAGCCTCCATTGCCATACATGGCATAACCCAGGGGTGCTCAGGCAGCAGTGTGTGATTTCATCAGCCAGATTAGGACAAGGCTGTGCAGGTCTGTGTTTATAAATGTCTATAGGTGGAGCCTGCATTCAGAAGCTGCTACTGATGGGATTAGGCACAGAATTCGTCAGGACTAGCCATGCCTGTCAGTCACGTTGCCAGCTGCAGATGCTGCAGGGCTCAGGTGGACCAGGTGATTGGCCAGGATTCGGTGTTAGATCTAGAGGACAGAGAAGGCTCTGACTGCACCTTTCCCTCCACCCCCACTTCCTGGGGTCTAAGGCCTCCCTCCAAGGACTTGAAATCAGTGTGTATCCCATCCCAGTAGGTATAGCTTCACTTCTTCTATCAACACTTACTCATACCCAGACCTTCTGTTTGGGTCAGATATGAGTGGAACAAGTATTTTTACAAATGTACAGGGACAGCCACCATAGGAAGGCCCTTTCTGGGAACTGCCAGTCAGTGACCAAATTGCCTTCCTAAGGTATATGGACCAGGAGGAAGTGAGATCTTTGTGAGGTGATTTTTTAAAAAGTCCATTTCACTTAATGAGGCCAAAGGCTGTGAAGTGTCTACTGAGTAACTTGGCTATTGGCCCATTGTTGGGCAGCCTTTGCAAGAAAAAGAACACCATTGTCAGCCTGTCAATGGTCCAGCCAGTCGAATCCATGGCACAGTTGTTTCAGGGCCCAGTGGCATGGCAGAAAGCAGCTGACCAGCCTGGCACGGCAGCACCACACCTGAAAAGTGCAGGGTGGCACCACTGGTAGTCAATCTACAGGAGCAAATGGGCCCTGGGGCTTCCCTCACCGTGAGACAAACGGGACATATTTTGACAGAAGCAAGTCATAGTGAGAACTTCTGTGTCAGAAACATAAAGCCCTCAAATGCTCAACTAGTCTTGATGGTGTTAAGAAAATTTACATGCTCTTCCTACAGCAGTAAAAGATTCCCAATTTTCTTAAAAAACCCAAACACAACACTTCCATGTAACTAAGGTTTAAAGGTGGCAATGCTTGTAGGTGGAGAAAGGCCTTCTCCTAGGTCCAAGGCATCAGTGAGTTTGAGGTTCCTGAAGATGGAGACTTACGTGGACTTAATGGTTGCTCATGGTGGCAGGATAGGTCTAGGGGAGAGCCACCCACTACTGAGAAACAAGTAGGTATGTGGGCAGAGGCGGAAACCAGCCCCTTCCCTGAAGGAGGCTTCCTTGCTGAGCACGTCCCATGGGCGACCTGCCATGTGATCTCATGTAACCCTCACCTCCCCCTATCTTAGTTTCCTCACTATCTTACAGGTGAGGAAACTCTAGGTTCAAAGCAGTTAAGTGAGCTATCCACTACTGAATACCTGGACTGGTGGGCAGTCTCTTCCCAATGCATATGCCCTTTCCCTGGACCACAGGCTCTCCCATTTGGGGTTCCCGATGTGTGTAGGGCAGTGCAGGCTTTCCTGCTCACCAACTGAGTCAACTGCAGTGACTGAAAGGCTTGGCAGGGAAAATGCCAGAATCCATGAGCAACACCTACCATGGACAAGGGAGGCCAGGAAGGAACAGATGAGGTATTTGCCAACTTGCTTCTGGAATAGATTTTTAAGCCCTGATGGATGCATATCTTCCTTCCAATGTACAGAATGTGTCCTTTTTGGCCCGAAAGATTTCTAGGAAGAAGTTTATTAGTTATTTTGTTCCAAGGAGCAGCCAAAGAAAAATTGGAACTGTCAGGTTGCATAGGGCACACAGGCTGGCCAAGTACCTCTGCCCACTCCCGAGCCAGAGTCCAGCCTCCTGAGTCACGAAGGCAGGTGGAAACTGAGCATGTTCCTTGATGTGACCAATTTGCCCAGCTAGACCAGAGGCTGCCTGACTGTCACCGCCCCTATATCCCACTAGAGCTGGTTCCTGGAATAGGCCATTGCTTGTCCCAGGCAAGCATAATAAGCCATTTTCCTTTACCTGAAACAAGTCACCCCCAGTACCTTTGTCATCTTGCCCTGTTCAATACAATTCTTTAGTGCCTTCAGGACCTCTTGCTGCTCAAGATAGGCTCCAAGTTCCCTTAAAAAACTCTTTGATGCACTGATGGAGTTATTAGCCTTTTTCTTTGGTCTCTCAACCCTGGGAAATTTTACCTAATGCTGTGGGTTGCCTGGATTCTGCTGTGTTTAGGACTATATGTTTGGAAGATAGAGGGGAGGAAAGTGGCTTCCAGAGTCAAGACAGGAAGGGAACACCCAGATAGGCAGCAGAATCAGGACAGCCTGGGGGCTGAATTTAGCCCTGTCCCCATTTCAATACAGGGACTCATGGGAGACCTGAGAAAACTGTAGAATTGCAGGAAAAGATGAAAATCATGAGGCCCAAGTGATCTTGGTTAGAACCACTCCAATTTTAGGAAAGTCTCGGTTTTCCCCTGAACAGGATGCATCCTTATTCCAACCCTCCTGTGCAAAGCAGTGATCCATTTTAGTGGGTCATTTAAAAATAAAAAATCAGCCTTAGCCAGTGTGGCTCAGTGGATAGAGTGTTGGCCTGTGGACCAAAGGGTCCCGGGTTTGATTCCGGTCAAGAACATGTACCTTGGTTGCAAGCTCCTCCCCAGCCCAGGCCCCGACATGCAGTAGGCAACCAATCTATGTGTTTCTCTCTGCCTTCCCCTCTCTTCCACTCTCCCTAAAACCAGTGGAAAAATATCCTCAGGTGTAGATTAAAAAAAAAATAAAAAAATCAATTAAAGAGCAACCCTCCTGCTCTTATTCAGTGAGATATGGCCAGAATTTTAAAAAAGAGAATTAGAATAGAAAATACCAACAACAACAAAGAAACAAACACCCAGAGCTCACCATGGATGGTAAGGCTGTGTTTGATAAAACTTCATGGGCACTCACGTATAATGCAAGATGTATTTCATTCAAAAAGATCTGAAAGATGCTCTTTTTAAAAGAGTTTGTTTCTAGAATGGGACATCTCATGTAGTGTCCTGTGATAATTTTGGTAGAGTTTAAATTAGCAGTCCCATAAAGAAATAAAGCACATGCTGAAATTTATTTTAAAAGGGAAGACCCTTTTTATTGAACTGGTACATTTTACTCTCTTCCTTTCAGAATTCTAATAAAAAAAAACCTTTTTATTTGTTTACTTAAAAAAAGAAAAACCCACAAACCAAACAAAGGAAATTTCTATGATGGGGAAGGAGGCAAAAGGCTTCAACATAGACAAAGAAAACTATACATGGAGTAAAGAAATCAAAGAGGAACTGACTCTGGTCTGGGGCCAAGCCACCCAAATGTGAACAAAGCAAACCTGCCCAGAGGACCAGGAAGCCCTCTTAACTTCTGAAGTAACAAACAGACCAAAAGCCCGAATGATCACAAAAATACAAATCAATCACTCTATTTTAAAAAGCACACACACTTTCTACATTTGTGCCCCCACCCCCAGGTTCTCTTCATCGGCAGGGGGTCCTGAATCCTGAAGAGTCGTGGCCTCTTGGTGACAGGGCGTTCACAGCACATATGTGTTCTTCACCAGATGCTCCTTATCGTCCCCGGAGCTCCAGACAGTGTGGAGGGTGCGCTCCTGGTTCCTCCGTGCCACTCTGATCAGGCAGACCACGGAGGCTCCCAGCAGGAGGATGAGGACCATCACGAACAGCCCCGCCAGGACCACCACTGGGGATGAGAGAGGCCTCAGAACCAGTAGGGCAGCACAGAGCTTAGGAACGACACAGGTGCCCTAGGGGCTGAAGGTAAGGACCAGCATCCCTTGTGCCTAACATCCCTCCGCCCAACCTGGGAGAGTCTGGAGAACTGACATGGCCCACCAGGGAGGTCATCAGGAGAGTCCCTATAGTCCTAAGAAGCTGGTTCCTGAAAAAGGGAGGTGCCATGTTATATTCAGACAAAGAGCAACTGTATGCCTTCTTTTTGAACAAACAGCCTCACTTCAACTCTCTATTTCCCTCCACCACTCAGGAGCAAGCTGTATAGGAGCCCTAAGCCCTTGCATACCAGGATGTAAAGAGCATACATGTCTGGGGTGTGTGGAAACATAAAACCCCAGGCTATGTGTTCATATACCACCCCCAACCAGCCACAGAGAAAGGTGGGCTGCAGGTGGCTGGGAGGCTGCCTGTGGAATGAGTTAAGGGTGGAGGCAAGGGTGTAATTGGAGCAGTGCTGGGAGGGGACCCTACTGCTCCTAATGGCCCTAGAAAATTTAACATTGGTCATCCTACTGGTCATTGAAGATGCTTTCTTTCCAGGTGGGGTTCCACTAAAGCAGTGATGGCGAACTTATGACATGCGTGTCAGAGGTGACACGTGAACTCACTTTTTGGTTGATTTTTCTTTGTTAAATGGCATTTAAATATATAAAATAAATATCAAAAATATAAGTCTTTGTTTTACTATGGTTGCAAATATCAAAAAATTTCTATATGTGACACGGCACCAGAGTTAAGTTAGGGTTTTTCAAAATGCTGACACGCCGAGCTCAAAAGGTTCGCCATCACTGCACTAAAGCAATGTAGCTCCTGTGGCAGCTACCTGGTTCCCTTTCCCCACTTGGCTACAGAATCAGAAAGGGGTGAGTCCCTCTCCATCTTTACCCCACCAGCACTCCAGATATGGGCTGGGCTGCATTCAGCCTAGGCCTGGCAAACCAGTTCATTTCACCCCTCCTCTAAAATAGAGCAGGCAGCAGGCCAGGCTGGGATTCCTTACCAGGGCAACAGGTGAAAAGAAGCCAAACCAGTGTGACAGGTCCTTTGTGCAAACACTATCCTCCATGACAGGCTCAGAATCAGAAACAGAAGCGAGAGGCCCAGCCTCCTTATCAGACTACTGACCATACTGCTTGGGGACAGCAGCACTGGCTGTGCCTAGCATACAGCAAGGTTTCCAACTTCCTTCCTATCACCCATGACCAACTCTGTACACCCCACAAAGCAAAGTTCCCTCCAAACCTGGAGTCAGACTCAGGCCTGTGTGCAGCAGATCCCCGCATGCCTAACAGCAGGACTTGCCTCCTCCAGTCATCCCCAGCTGCCTCACTCCCAGCCCCCGCTATGTACACTCTATGGTGGGACAAACATCAACCACATGCTCCAAGCTGCCTGGCTATTCTTGTGCAGAAACACGACTTTCTACCTAAAGATGTTTATGGTGAAGAATGATGTGTCTAAGACAACATGAGCCTGCAAACCACAGCTGAGCTTAGGCAGGCAGGCAGGTGGGGGAGGGTAGGCGGCCATTTACCTTTAGTGCTACGGGGCAGGACAGGATACAGCTGCTTGCCTGGAAGAGAACACACAACCTTGAGGTCAGCTCAGTCCTCCTCCCTCAAAGCTGTCGCCACCTGAAGATCCCCCTCGGCCCTGGGACTTCATGGCAGAATCCTTCTGAGGCACTTCCTCTTCCAGCTCTTCTGAGGTCTTTAAGGCCTTGTCACCTTGGTGGGGACCTAGGACATGTCTGCCCAATAGCCAAGGCCAAAGCCCACCTGTTCCCCAATAGGGAGCCAGAGAAGGATGGAGGCCAGATGACAGCCTTTCTAAGGCCTCGGTTTAGGGATAGGGATGAACTCTGGGAGGGCCATCCACCCACCATTGCTTCTTGGATCCAGGATCAGACAGACTCACCTACGCAGCGGCTCATGCATGCCTCCTTGGAGAGATAGTTGTTTTTATTGCCCCAGCACCCTCCATAGATAAAGTTATCACAGGAGTTCTTCTCGGTATCAAAATACCAGCGTGGAAAGGATGCGCGGCAAGGCCCAGTGACCGCCTTGGCAGTGCAGTATTCTGGGAGCGGGAGAGCCGAGGAGCACAAATGAGTAGGGCCCAGGGAAGGGAGATGGAGCTAGAGTGTTCCAGGGCAGTCACACAGTTGCCAGCCAAGGGAGAACTGTCTGCTACAGAAACTGGTAAACTAAAGAAGTGGCCAGTTTGTCCCCTTAGACACCCTCCCCCACATTTCTAGTATCTTTCTCTTTACAGTCAGACTATGTTATAACGGTGATTCCTCTATGCCAGGCACTGTTCTGGGTACTTTCCATGTATTAACTTGGTCTCTAAGCGATCTGTCCTAGGCCCCTTATTTCACAGTCAGGGACTCTGAGGCTGGGCCTGCACTCTGGACTGCCTCTCTGGAGCACAGCTTCCTGCAGCACGCTGTGCATGCCCTGCTGCCTGCTACCCTGGGCATCCTCGTGCATTCGACGCCACCTAGGAAAGGCCATGAAGCTTGACGCTACAATTTCCTTAGTGGAGATCCTCCACTGTGTCTCAATTCCAACTAACTAGAGAAAATACATCTTGCCCATATAAAAGTATTTTTTAAAAGTTATACTTTCTTATCATCTAAAATAAAAAATGAATTTTAAAAAATGTTATACCTTCGTAGTTGAAAATATCACCAGAGGGATCATCAAAATTCTGTCTTCTGGGAACTAAAACACAAACATTTGTATCAGGGAGGCTGGGACGGACACAGGACATGTGGTCTGACGGGGGCTGAGTCTAAAAGGGCCCATCTACTGAGGGAGTGTGGACACTGGCACCCTATGTGGGCAGCTTTGCACCATTCCCTCCAGTGCCAATGGGTTCCATAGCACACACCGAATGAATGCTAAATGGGGAGGCCCGCCTGCCACTCCAGGGGTTGCTATGGAAACTAATCCCAGTCACAATTTCTGGGGTGATGAGGAAGCTGGTCTTGTTCACTCTCTACACAGCAATGAGGAAGCTGGTCGTGTTCACTCTCTACACAGCGAGGAGGCCCCTCCCTTACTCTCCTGGGGAAATTTTCTTCTGAAACAGGACTGATACCAGTTATTATGCAAGGGCCCCAGGGTTCTGGATGGCCTTGGAGAGGCCAGACTGGGAATAGGGAGCCCAGGCAAAGTGATAGCCAGGATGGTCACAGGATTCCTGGCCTAGCAAAACCGGAAAGTGGTTCTAGCCTAACTTTCAGCATTCTGCAAGTCACAGAATAAACACTCTCCCACAAGTGCTGGTGTCACAGTCAGAGGGGGTTGCCCTTCAACTGGGCGGGAGCGGATTTCCTCCCTTCACAGTACGACTTGCCTAGCAGGACCCATCGCCTAGGGACTGGCCTTCGGGAAAGCTAGGTTGAACTTGCTAGTGCATTTATACCACTCACCCCAGGTGCCCGAGGCAGAGCCCTTTAAGCATAAAGGAGGAATGCGGTAGCTGCTGTCAGCAGTACAAAGCAAGATAACACAAAGCTCAAGATCAAGAACTGTAGTGGGAACGGAGGCAGGTGGCAGAGAAGTACTCTTAGCACAGGAAGCAGAGGAGACAGAACAGGCAAGGAGAGGTGGGGTGAGCGGTGAGACAGCAGAGGCCAGCCTAGAGAGAAGGAAGGGCCTGTGTCACATGGGCAGTGATCACAATTCCCTGACCCACAGGAGGAAGCTGAGGTCAGCTCAGAAGCACTGCAGACTCCCCCAGCTCTCATTTCTGTTAAGGAGCCAAAAGGTGGCAGCCTAGGCAGAGCCCCTGTTTGCCAATGGTGAACAGAAGAACCAGGAGGTGGAAGCTTATGTACAAGTCCCAGATTACAAATATCCTTTCACAGTTCCCCATCTGGACAGCCCTCATTCCATCCTGGGTCTCTTAAAAACCTACCACTTGGGATTGAGGAATCTGCTCCATTCCTGCTGGTGGCCAGACCATCACTAGTGTTCTCTACAAGGAGACAAATAAACCATAGTGAGAAAGTGCCCCTCCCTTCAAGCTATCCAGTGAAACAAAACAAGGCGTAACACTGAGCTTCATGGAGACTCCCGTTTCTCCTTTATGTGGGCCTTTCAATGAGCACACTGGACCACAAGCCTGCCAGAACTTAGAAATAAGGAACCAAGACTGTCCTTGTGGGTTAAATTTTAAGATCAACATGCTAGTAATTGGAGCAAAGATGTGTGAAATGAATGTAAAAAGATAATATGGCTTACAAGGCCAAATACCCTGTTAACTGCAGTAACCTATCTAATGACTAAAAAATTAAGGGGGTGCACAGCAATGTGAATGTACTTAATGCCACCAAATTGTACACTTACAAATGGTTAAAATGGTAAAATTTATGTTATGTATATTCCCTCTCTCTCTCACACTCACATACACAGTTAAGGGCGTGAGGTAGAGTGGCTAGCCACTTAAGGAAGCACAAAAAGGAGTGCTGGCAGGGTGCAGGAGGGAGTGACCCTGGCTTCCCGCCTTCCTACTAGTCCCAACAGACTTTCTGGAGAGGCACGAGGCTGGCCTGACCAGATGCCATTAAACATTCATGTCACAAACCAGCTCCCCTTGTTCTGCCTCACTCCTCATCAAGCATTCTTCTGGGAAGTTGGCTGAGAGGACTGCCTATGTGGACTACAGGTACAGGCACAGGGACCTGAGTGTCTGGTCCCCTGGGAGGTTCTGGTTTTCAGTATAAATTAATAAACTGGCATTCTCATTATCATGTGGTTTCCCACAGAGCTTGCCTGACTGGGAGAGAACTTGCTGGCAAAGGCCCCAGTGCCTAGCGGCTCTGGCAGTTCGAGTTCTTGCACAGCTCACAAGAGATCCTCAAGAGACATGCAGTGGAGACATGCTTGGGTGCCAAGAAAAGAGCTTTCTGGGCCCTTAAGACTAGGGTCAGACTCTGAACAAAGATAGCTGTCTGTCTTCTCCCAGCCAAACACAACCATCCCTGACCCCTTGTAGTGAGCTCCTGTCTTAATGCCTAGTGTCTGCTGCTTGCATTGTTAAAAACAACTCTCTTCCTGAGAAAATGAGAAGCAACCAGAATGGGCAGGTACACTTCCTACAGTCAAATCAATGGGGAAGGGACAGAAAAGGCAGCAAAATTATTTCCCCTTAGTCCCTCCCCCAACACTGGATCCCAGCTGATGATGGAAAATTACAATAAATGCTATTTTCCTCAGTCACCATCTGGTAAGGTTGCCAGTTGCTCCCTGAACGGTGAAAAGCTTGCCTGTATGATCCAAAAACAATACCCCAGCTCTCCAAACACTTGCTGAGTGCCTACTGGGCACCAAGCACACAAAGATCAGCAAAGTGTTCAAGGCACTCAGTCACTGGTGGGCTTGTGTGTTCAGCATTGTTTCAAATCTCAAGTTATAGCCCCCCCCCTCTTTACATATAACTTTAATAAGGTTATCTGATTTTTTAATGCAGAGTGCAAAGCCAAGAGAGATTACAGCCAGCGAGTGAGGAGAGAGAAAAACCGCACAAGGATGCGGGACACAGGCTCACAGGCTGGCGGTATGCAGGGAGCAATAAAGGCACCAGCACATCCTGACACAGAATCAGAATCGAGCCCTAATATCGATGCCAAGCCATCAAGAACAGATGAGGGCCCTAACCGATTTGGCTCAGTGGATAGAGCATCGGCCTGTGGACTGAAGGGTCCCAGGTTCGATTCCGGTCAAGGGCATGTACCTTGGTTGCGGGCACATCCCCAGTGGGGGATGTGCAGGAGGCAGCTGATCAATGTCTCTCTCTCATTGATGTTTCTAACTCTCTATCCCTCTCCCTTCCTCTCTGTAAAAAATCAATAAAATATATTAAAAAAAAGAACAGATGAGGGAAGTCACATAACAATGTTAGAGAGATTGTCAACGAAAACATTTAACAGTTTGGGTTCTCTGGAGTACTTGGGAGGGACCAGGCCCCAGAGGTCCAATGTCTCATTGCCATCAAGAGGTTCCTCGAGGCTCAGTTCAGAGCCAGTGAAGGTTGTTGTGGGAATTAAGTTTTTATTCAAATTGTGAGGCTCTCAGGGTCAATGTTATCTTGATTCCACAGAATCCCTTGCAAGTGAGGGCTGGGAAAAGGAAGGACTCCAGGAAGTATGTTCTAGGTTTTTTGATTTTTAAAATATTTTTATTGATTTCAGAGAGGAAGGGAGAGGGAGAAATAGAAACATCAATGATGAGAGAGAATTGTCAATCAGCTGTTTGCTGCACGCCTCCTACTGGGGATCGAGCTCGCAACCCAGGCATGTGCCCTGATGGGGACTCGAACTGTGACCTCCTGGTTCATAGGTGGATGCTCAACCACTGAGCCATGCTGGTCAGGCTGTACTAGTTTTAACTTGACTCAGAACTCAGCTGGCTGGGTGAGCTCCTCAAGTCATTTGCTCCAGAGGCAAAAATAACCCAAATGTCCAGGGAGCAATTGGGGCAGCCTACCTGATTGAACATTGGACTCTGTTCAAGGGGAAGTCACTTCCTCCTGTGTGGGGTCTGGTGTGGAACCTGCACTCAGTGGTGGGAGAAAGGAAATCACGGAGAAGACGTAGTCCTGCCCCCACCCCAGCCTGCTGCCTACTCTCCCCTTTCTGGGAAGAGGATGGAGAGGACCACTGTGAAACCACTGTGTTGGTAACCTTCGCACTGTGCCTGTTTCTTCTGATTTTTAAAACATCCCCCAAGTCCAGCTATGAAGAACTAGGGAAGAGCAAAAGGCACCCACATCCCAATGAATAAACTGACTCTAAATGTAACATATCCTCAACTCCACCATCTTACCTGTGACATCAGCACATTTCTCAAGACAATCCTCCTTGGTCAGGTAATTATTGTTGTTCCCACCACAGCCTCCATATACAAACTGCTGGCAGGATCCACCAGTGGCATTGTACCACCACCTATGCATGGAGGCCCGGCATTTTCCCACTACCTTCGGAACTTGGCAAAAGTCTAAAACACAAAGTACACACCAGTTAGCTTGGCATGGCAATCCCAGCAACAGAGAACATGCCCAGACCTGCAGGAGGAGGCCCACAGTCGTCCAGAGCCCCAACATGAGGGCCAGTCCAGCACAGTTCCTCCATGAGCTGTTTCTACAACGTCACCATCAGGCCCTCCTTGGTGATTCCTTCCTTGTACAGGAAAGAAGCACTTCATCTAATGACAAAGATACCAACCCACTCAACCGAATTGTATTTCAGTTGCATGTTGGTTCTGTCCTTGCCCCCATTATCAAAGACGCACATATCCAGTACAGAAATTGATGTTCAGATGCAAAAAACAGACTTCAAGGTCCTACTGAATGTGTCCCATCACAGTGGGCCTAGGGGAGCTGAGTGCTGAAAAGCCAGCACTGGAGATGGGAGAGCAGGAAGGAAGCACACTAGCACTCTTAGCACCTCTCAAGAGGAACTCTCTTAACCTTTCCTACCCACTCTCTGACCCAGCACACCGCTTCATACTTAAACTACCACAAGAGCCTCAGAAAGAACTACCCAACTCTAGCTCCCCCCACTGCCAACCCCCAGCTCCAAGGGCAACTCAGGTCACTCCTTTGCTTCCACCTGAGCACACCAAGGTGCCCCCAAATCTGGCCTGCTCTTGTACAAGGGAAACAAAACAATGTTATCAAATTCCAGCCAGATACATCTGCCTGAGAAAGGTCTAGCAATCTGCTCCCTCTCTTAAAAAAAGAGATAGCCTGGCTGGCGTGGCTCGATTCCCAGTCAGGGCAAATGCCCGGGTTGTGGGCTTGATCCTCAGTACAGCTCTTGTAGGAGGCAATGATTCTCTCTCATCATTGATGTTTAAATCTCTCCCTCCCTCTCTCTGAAATCAATAAAAACATATTTAAAAAAAAAAAAAGCCAGGTGACTCAACCTTCCCATGTGATCATGAGTCCACACTACCTCTCCTTATATCCTGGCCTCCATGATAATCAATAAAAACATATTAAAAAAAAAAAAAAAGCCAGGTGACTCAACCTTTCCATGTGATCATGAGTCCTCACTACCTCTCCTTATATCCTGGCCTCCATGAGCTCTACCTCTGGCAAAAGGGAGCCTAGCACAGGGTGCTCGATAAACATCTCAGGGCCCAACACTTGGCTCCATGTTGTTTTCATGTTTGTTAGGTTTACTTCACCAATTAGGGCAGTGGTCGCCAACCTTTCGGATCTCACGGACCACCAGTGGTCTGCGGACCATAGTTTGGCGACCGCTGCTCCAAAGGTTTCCTTAAACCAGCGGTTGCCAATCTTTTGGACCTCACGGACCACCAGTTGGCGATTGCTGCTCCAAAGGTTTCCTTAAACTAGCAGTCGCCAATCTTTCAGACTTCACGGACCACCAGTGGTCGGCGGACCATTGGTTGGTGACCACTGAACTAGAGGATGACTCTAGAAAGCATAGGAAGAGGATTTGGCTTCTCTTGTGTCTCCAAAATATGTCACATCTAGAGGCCCAGTGCACAAATTCGTGCACAGATGGGGTCCAGCTGGCCGGGCCCCAATTGGAGCCGGGCCTGTCAGAGGGAGGAGGAGATGGTTTGAGGTTGGCTGGCCAGCTGGCCCACCCTGATCAGGGCGATCAGGGCCGGGCCAGCTGGGGGGAGGGGCCACGGGTGGTTGGCCGGCTGGCCCTGCCCCTGATTGGGGTGGGAGGGCCAACTGGGGCCCTGATCGGGCTGGTTAGACACCACAGTGCACATCATAGTGACCGGTCATTCCAGTTGTTCCATTGTTCCGGTCACTTGGCTTTTATATATATAGATAATATATAAATATATAAATATATCTCTATATTTATCAATATCTATATATTTTTATATATCTATCTAATCTATCTATATATCTATATACAAATATATGTGAGAGAGAGGGAGGGGGGGGGGGGGGGGGGGGGCCCGCAGGCAGTTGGCCGGCCGGCCCTGACCCTGATCAGGGTGCGGGGGCTGATCTGGGATGGGGCCAGGCAGGGAGAGGGGCTGAAGGAGGTTGGCCAGCTAGCCCCGCCCCTATTGGGGTGGGGGAGCAATCAGGGGCAGGGCTGGCCACCCTGCCCTTGATTGGGGTGGGAGAGGCTGATCAGGGGCAGGGCCAGCTGGGGGGAGGGGCTGCGGGAGGCTGGCTGCAGTGGGCGTCATAGCGACTGGTCGTTCTGGTCGTTAAGGCGTTCCAGTCGCTAGCTTTTTATCTATATAGACTAGAGGCCCGGTGCACGAAATTCATGTGCAGGTACAGTCCCTAGGCCTGGCCTGCGATCAGGGCCATCTTTCCCAGCTGCCCGCAGCTGGCCCTGCCCCCTGCTGCCACCAACCCCCGGTTCCCCGTTTGCCATCAGGTGATCGGTGCCTGACGGCCGGGCAAAGGGACTGAGAGGTCGGCCCCACCCCCACCACAGGTGGCCATTAGGCGATCGGAGCCTGCTGGTCAGGGAAAGGGACCAAGAGGTGGTCAGTGTGCCTCATAGTGACTGGTCCAGCGGTCGTTCTGGTAGTTCTGCAGTTAGGGTCAATTTGCATATTACCCTTTTATTATATAGGACTAGAGGCCCGGTGCACAAAAATTTGTGCACTGGGGGGGTGGGGAGGGGGGTTCCCCAGCCCGGCCTGTGCCCTCTCGCAGTCTGGGACCCCTCAGGAGATAACGACCTGCTGGCCTAGTCCTGCTCCCGGGTGGCAGAGGGCAGGCCCAATCCCTAAGTGCAGCCCCTGGTCAGGCTCAGAGCAGGGCCGATTGGGGAGTTGGGGCACCGCCCCCTGTCACACTCAAGGCAGGGTCGATGGGGAGGTTGCGGCGCCACCCCCTGTCACGCACAGAGCAGGGCCAATCAGGGGGTTGGGGTGCTGCCCCCTGTCACTCACAGAGCAGGGCTGATCAGGGGGTTGGGGCGCTGCCCCCTGTCACTCTCAGAGCAGGGCCCATCAGGGGGGTTGGGGCTCCGTACCCTGTCACACACAGAGCAGGGTCGATCAGGGGGTTGGGGAGCTCCCCCCTGTCACGCACAGAGCAGGGCCTATCAGGGGGTTGAGGAGCTCCCCCCTGTCACTCACAGAGTAGGGCCGATAGGGGAGTTGGGGCACCGCCCCCTGTCACACACAGAGCAGGGCGGATCAGGGGGTTGGGGCGCTGCACCCTGTCACACTCAGGGCAGGGCCAATGGGGAGGTTATGGCTCTACCCTGTCACACACAGAGCAAGGCCCGTGGAGGGGGGTTGGGGCGCCACCCTCTATCACCCACAGAGCAGGGCCGATCAGGGGGTTGGGGCGCCACCACTGTCACACTCGGGGCAGGGCCGATGGAGAGGTTATGGCTCTACCATGTCACACACAGAGCAGGGCCGATCAGGGGGTTGGGGCGCCACCACTGTCACACTCGGGGCAGGGCCGATGGAGAGGTTATGGCTCTACCATGTCACACACAGAGCAGGGCCGATCAGGGGGTTGGGGCGCCACCACTGTCACACTCGGGGCAGGGCCGATGGAGAGGTTATGGCTCTACCATGTCACACACAGAGCAGGGCCGATCAGGGGGTTGGGGAGCTCCCCCCTGTCTAGGATAGAAGGATAGAGGCCTGGTGCATGGGTAGGGGCTGGCTGGTTTGCCCTGAAGGGTGTCCTGGATCAGGGTGGGCTGGGGTGCCGGGGTGCCTGGCCAGCCTGACTGAGGGGCTGAGGGCCGTTTTCCGGCTGGCGGGTGACTGAAGCTCCCAACTGCTCCTTTTTTTCTTTTTT